TATTAGTAAAATATTATCTAAACATTATCCCACTAAAAATATGTTTCTGTAGTGTTGCCCAGATGAGAACTTAAGACACGCACTGTTAAAAGTTATTTGATCTCATGTAAAGCCACGCTTTTAACTCTACACGCCCTAACTCTACAAGGCCTAACTTCACAAACTCTACATCTTAGTTAAAATATGTGGCTTGGCCAATTATTATTTATTAATTTATTTTTTCAATCTTCCTTGCCTTTACACTGCAAATGGCGAACTCATTACAGCGGGCCATTCGCAGCTTATAAATAGTCAATTTAAGACTTATAAATAAACTAAAAATAAATATCTCAAATACAAAATTTTATTTCTACAACTTAATCAACTAACTTATAGATACTTAATTAAATAAATAATTAAGATTTTATTTCCCGTAGATACCCAGATTTAGTACCCAGATTAGGTGTAAAAAGATATAAGACTATTTACTGTATTTTAATATATTTTAAAGTATTAAATCACGCAGATTTATAAATCTAAAAGAGGATAATATTATAGTACAAACATAAACCTATGTCTTAAGGTGCCGAAATTACGGGACCGATTAAAAAAAATCTTTTTCTTTCTGATGAACAAAGACCATATAAACATCAATAATACCGAACGTCAGAAAAAACTACCCAAAAATAACCTTTTGTCGCGTACTTTGCCGTAGTCATGACAATAGAGCAAAGTGATGTACTAAAGTTTTATAGACGATATAAATATCTATAAATAAGTCCGTAGTACCATATGTCTAACTATTACAGTTTTTTACAACTAGAGGTTCCCGGCAGTTGCGTTAATAAAAAAAAATATTGAGTTGTGTTAATTTAAGAAAAAAGGTTATAGTGAGTCAAACTTAAAACATATGCTGTCGCGGACTTTTTTTAGAACTCTTAAAGGGAAGCCAATCCGCACTGGGCCTGCGTAGTGGGTGATGGCTCAATCTCCCTATTCCATCCATAGGGAAGGCCTGTGCCCCAGCAGTGGGGACATTAATAGGAATGAAAGGGAAACATTTCCGTCATACATAATTTTAATGCAACTTTAACCGTTTACACAGGAATGGAACATTTTTACCCGTTTTTAGAACATTTTTCATCGATGCTCCGACCCTACATAACTAACGTACCTATGTTAATGTATGACGACTTTTTAATTTACAAATTGTAATCGACTTTGCTAGCACGGCGTTTAATCCAATGACTTATAAAAATTGGGACCCAGCGATACACAAACAGTGTCCACATGATAATGTTTACTGTATCATACCTACTCGCCATATCAGGTCAACAAAGACGCATACCTATTTATGAATTAGGTGCTTATTATGGTAAAAAATATGCCGCTACCAGTACAATATAATTACATTTCTTAAATTACATACTGGCTTTTTGCAATGACTTTTTGACTGAACATAACCTACGTGACAATTATGTGTAATACTTTAACATACGTAAGTATTTATGCTACATTAATAACTGAAACTAAAGTTAAAGTGGACGAAGTCGGGGGCGGTCGCTAGTAACTGTATAGTCCATAGATAGTGCCGTGTTTAATACGTATTTCCTGCTTTCCATTCAGGGGGCCAATCGCCTAACGGGATTGCTATGGATGTCGCTATTACTCACGATTTTATTTTGTTATTTCTGACTGTCGAAGGTTTTCAAATACTTCACGCTCATTTTGCTTTTAATATTGTTATCATCGATTCAAAAGAAAAAAAAGAGCACGAGGCATTTGAAAACCTTCGGCGGTCAGAAATAACAAAATGAAATCGTAAGCGATACCGATAGTCATACCAATCCCGTTAAACGACTGGCCCCCAGGCGTACTAAACTAAACGCAAGTCGCAAATACAAATTCTGTTTATTTAGATTTCGAAAGACTAAAGAACGAATTTACGTAACACCCGTAGACGCGTCTACGGTTTCGTAGCTTTATTGTCTTCGCTACGAACGGGTAAATATTTCCTGTAATTTCGTTATTCCACGAAACACTGCTTTCTGTGTAAAACACAATGCGCAAGCCGAACCCGTAGCCGTGGGGACAGTAAACAAAATGGCGCATTTAAATGGGCGGCAACGACATTGTTGGCGCGCTGCGTTACATCGATATCGCTCGCTAACCTTGTCGCACCTCCTAGCGAGGCCTCTTTATTTTCGCTTCTCATTCAGAATCAGAACAATGCACCTGGACTTCAAACACACCATTCAAACATCTCACTTATTCCACATTCCACTAAGACCATTTTGACTTGAGACGAAAAGAGGGTAAATGCCACATGTGGAACTGTTGCATATTCCGCCGTCTCTGTCGCACGGGTGGGGGAGGGGTGTTTTTTATGTTTGCGTCTCGCTCTCGCCTACTCCTGAGAAGTAATGTGTTGTTGCGTGTTGTGATATCGCTAAAATAACAGGGAAGCACTCGCTACGAAGTTGTCATTTGTAACGGTTTTGGCGTGTACGGTCAAAAGAAAAGTCAAATTTAGCATTTTCAACGTGATAAATACATTATTATTTATTATAACAAATTTCGGATATCTGTGGTCGCTACACCGCTCGATTATTGTTACAATATATTGATTACCGTTAGCATTATCCACATTCTATTAACTTCCCAACTTCCGGCTGAAAATACTTTGTCATTCTAGACTCGTGTTATTTATAGGAGCGATCATAGTATATACCAGTCAGAATCAGATGGCAGAACATCAAATACATAATTATGGGGTTAAGCTTAATAAAACATCTTTACAACTTTGATACATAAATCTAAAGACAATTTTACTAGAAAAAAAATCACTCGGTTAAGGCATCAGACAGGACGCTGTCTTTAGGTATGTATTGTTTTGTAATATTTTTTTTTTGTCAGTTATTTATCTACCAGTATAATGCAATAAAAATAAAATGAGCTTCTAATATATCTCTCTGTAATAAGTAAAAAATAATTTTCAATATCTACTAGAGGAGCTCGATGGCGCAACGCCCCTTGCGTTAGCGCGTTTGGCTGCGATCGTTGAACTTAAGCAACTTTCGCAGTGGTCGGTCATTGGATGGGTGACCAAAAATTACTATCTCGAGCTCCTCCGTGCTTCGGAAGGCACGTTAAGCCGTTGGTCCCGGTTGCATCTGCAGTCGTTAGCACCCACCAATCCGCACTGGGCCCGCGTGGTGGGTCATGGCCCAATCTCCCTATTTCATCCATAGGGAAGGCCTGTGCCCCAACTGTGGGGACATTAATAGGCTGATGATGATGAATATCTACATGAAAAACTTTTATGTCATTAAATGAAACATATGAAACTATTATGGAGGCACAGGTTTTAGTTCATAAATATCATTTTTAAGGTGATCGTAATTTTTTAGTTTTCGTGGAAGTACCGTTAGTATATTGGTCGCCCAGCGATTGTGCCGTGTATAGCATTTCAGTTTTTTTTAGATTATTTTGAAGTGAAAATTTCTTTAACGGCGTTGTACCCTTTTGTTGTAATGGGTAAAAAATGAACTCGCGTAAGGACACGAGGCCTGATCGCGTCAGGAGACGTGACCTAATCGAAAATTCGTAAGACGAAAACAATAAAATTGGAAAGGTTGTTGACTTTCAATATATTGAACGAGAAAAATAGTAATATTTTATTTTATCGTATTATTATAATAAGTCTTTATCTAGGATGTCCAGTTGGCAGCTTTATTGCGAAGCAAATGCATTTTTTTACAATAGATGTCACTAGGTGCGCTTAAATGTAATTCATGTAAGTTGATTTTTCTGAGAGAGAAACTGTTTAATGTAATATAAATTGTCATGTTTGTATACGATAGCGTAATAAATAAATATTGTATTCTACCACATAAATGATAGTACTTTTATATTAATAATTTGAGCAATTCGTGCAAAATTATTCCCTAACCATTCCAAAATATCAAAAATGCAGAACGTTAATATTTAAGTTTTCACTTCTTCCCGCAGAGCAACCCGTCATTTTTTTTTTATTTATTTCTTATCAAAAATAACAATAACAGATCTAAAAACCACGCCATAAATCGCAAGGATTGGTTCGATGTGCTAAGCACACATACGATTCCATATCATATTAACATAATATTAAGGTGGTTAGTTAGTTACCTTCAATTATTTTTACAAGTATCAAGGAGGTGAATAGCAAAGCGACAATTAATATACTTATTTTGTGTGGGTGCCGTAACAATTGCCCAACATGAACCGAGATTTTATGTATCTTACAACGAAATACTTTAAGTACTTGTATAAATACTTATTGATTAAGTAACAATTAATAAGTATTTATACAAGTATAATAATTTAATATTTTTTATTTTACCTAGAGATTATAACATGAAATTGTAAATTTGTTATTTTTATTTATTTATTTATATAAATGTCATGTGAGCATAAGATTGAAATGGTATGTATATAAAACATTTTTTAAACAAACAGTAGGTATATACGTAAATAATCGGCGCGATCAGGACTTGTTTGACCATCTCTGATATGGAGAAATCTTTGAAATTTACCATTTATTGTAAGTAGGCAAATAAAAATGATAATTACTATGATTTATAATAAAGTTATATATGAAACTATTTTTTATTAATCTTAGGAATTAAAGTAAAACTAGATTCCAAGTCAATATATTTTTTATTCATAAACAACACTCTTGATAAATCTAGAGACATGTTGAATAACTCATATGAGTCATTTTAATATTAATAAAAAAATGTAGACTAATTTTATTTAGTTACTTTCTTACAATTTAGTACCTTGTTAGTAATATATTTCAACAAATTATACCTAAATAACAACGATGCAGATTCTTATTTCAAAATTATTTATTTCTATAATATTATACTGATTGACATTCCGTGAGAAAAGTTTAGTAATCCAAAAGCGAGGGAAGTGTTAGATTGCGAACCGTACATTTGGCCTTAAGGCAGGGCGCGTGGAGTAGCGAACCCAGTGGAGTGGGGCGTCGCTAAACAAAAACACGTATACGCAGCGGCGAGACGCGCGATTGGCTGCGGCGGGCACGGCCCTCGAGTTCGTGCGATCGCTGCCGCCGCCGCCGGCCTTCACTCCCGCATTCGTAGTCCGCGCGCCAACATGTGCAGTGGCGCTGACGGAGCCCCCTGGCCGCTCGGCAAGGACGCGCCCGCTGTCACCGCCGCCGCGCTAGACCACTACCGCCTCCAACTATATAATTATGCCGTCGCCGAACGCCTTCGACTATACCCGCCGACCGTCGCGCCCTGCTATGGGCCTTACGCGCCAAGGCTCGCGCTCTCCATGTCACTGCTCCAGCAACGTGCGCTCCAGCCTGAAGAGCCGAAACCGCAGCACAGCTACATCGGCCTCATCGCAATGGCGATTCTCAGTTCCCCGGAAAGGAAACTAGTGCTCTCCGACATATATCAACACATTCTTGACAACTACCCGTACTTTCGCACTAGAGGCCCCGGTTGGCGAAACTCTATTCGCCACAACTTATCGCTGAACGACTGTTTTGTAAAAGCCGGCAGATCGGCCAATGGCAAGGGTCACTACTGGGCTATCCATCCGGCGAATATAGATGATTTTAGAAAGGGTGATTTTAGAAGACGCAAAGCGCAAAGAAAAGTGAGGAAGCACATGGGTCTCGCTGTAGATGACGACGGCGAGGACTCTCCTTCCCCGCCTCCTCAATCACCACCACCGACGGCGCTGCCTCTGCCTTTTTGGGGTACTGGGCGTCTTCCCGGTGGCGCTACAGCTCGGAAGCGGCAGTTCGACGTGGCGTCGCTACTTGCTCCGGACGACGCGCCGGAGAAGCGGATGAGACGCGACAGCAGCGGTGAGGACGAACCCGAAGAGGACATCGATGTCGTGGCCAGTGACCAAGAGGAACGGACGGCAGAAGAACCGCCCCAGTATCCGTTACTAGGCGGCTGGTGGCCGCTGGAGCCCGCGCTCCTGCAGCAGTTGCGACGCCACGCGCCGCCCGCGCCTTCCAGCCCCGCCGACCAGCAGCGTCCGCCTGACACCTAGGCTGTGTGAATCTATCGGCAATTGTAAATATTGTGAATATACACTTTTCTTAAGAAACCCGTCGCCCTAGTGAGAAAAGAATACTCTTTCGCTTCGACTTCCTGTGTTCCAGTATTACCTCAGACGAGTCATTGCGTCGCGCGTTGAACTCTAACCGATAGCGTAGTTCTACAGTGACCGTGCCGTGGTTTTTTCCCCAAACTGTTATTTTAATTTAGTGATTGATCATAAATAGGTGACACGTCTGTAATGAAACAGTAAAATAACTAGCAGTGATGGTTCGTAGAGATTAATTATGGAAGCTATCTAGTATAAACGTTACAAGTCTGAAAAACGACCAATCGCGTGTAAAGTTTTAGTTCTATTTGTAAATATAGTAAAAGTGTCTAATCTTCGTTGTTATCACTGATATGTAAACATACTGTTGTTTATTTACTAGAAATTATTAATAACCGTATGAAATATGAGAAATCTATAAATCTCTGAATAAATTAGTAAAAACACATAATCTATCTTTCACTTAACAGTCCTTTTTATTTTTCTTTATTTATAAAAACTAAAAATATTTTTGATTATTCAAAAAGATTTTCAAGAAAACTGTGTCATTACAAAAATAATTTCTAAATTATTTTAATAGTTTGTAGTCATTTTATGCTCTCTTATCTGTCAATATTTTGTAGCAAATATTTAAAAATACTTTTTATATTTGTTGTATTTTAATTATACTTACTGTTAATATTCTTCTGAAGTAATAATGATACATCACACATCATTTATTTTTTGAAAATCGGCAAACTTTTTTGCTAACGATGAATTAAATCATTCCGTTGAAGAAATCATTCTGTCGGGATATAAAGCCCGTACAATTTTAACTTAATACTGTTTTGCCGGTTTCATAGCCACCTTATTATTCATTCAAAATATACGTATCTTTCAAAGGTATGCAAAAAATAAATAACAACTTACATAATATTGAGGATTTTTTTTATGAATAAAGGAACGTACGAGTATAAAATATAATATTTAAATATTTATTATTAATTGACTGAGATGCATGTACTTAAGTATAGTAAATCCCTCTTAGCTATAAAAATATGAATAATCTGGGAATTAATATATTTATTAATTCCCAGATTATTCATATTTTTACCTGAACTTCCGCCTACACAACTCATATAACTAAACATAAACACCTAATAATATAAGGGGGTACAGGAAATTATTTGTGTTTAAATATCTCCCCCTCATCAAATATTGTTGACTAAAGTCAAACCCGGTTTTTAATAATAGGTACTCTCGCTTTTGTTAATCAAAGACACGACTGAGACGGCATAGGTTAAATTATTCCGTAGGTGTTATCTATTTTATTTATAGACTAGCTGTGTCCCTGGGTGTTACCCGTGGTGTATTAGGGATATTTTCCCCCAGTAAAACGTAGCTTATGTGTTAATCTGGGGTGTCAGCTAACTCCATACCAAATTTTATTAAAATCGCTCCAGACGTTTAGACGAGAAGAAGTAACAAACATACACACTCACAAACTTTTGCCTTTATAATATTAGTGTGATACTACTTATATTTCGGACCTCTTTCCATTACCATGTATGGTCTTTTAAGATTGAAATATAGTCGACTACAAGATGCATATGGTGAGAAACATGGTAGATTGTTTTATTACCTATTGGCGGCCGCCCGCGACTTTGTCCGCGTTTACTGTAGTTTTCTCCAAATCCTTGGAAAATTGTCCTATGTCTCAATACAACCAAATCAATAAACTATATGTGTGCCAATTTTCATCCAAATCCGTTTAGCCGTTTTGCGTGCTTCAGTAACATACATAAAAACTTACAAACTTTCACATTTATAATATTAGTGGGAAATAGAATTTATCATTTAAGGATTAAGACTTCTAAAGAGCTTTTAATAAGTCTATTTGAATTAAATTTATTCATATTTGATTACTCAAAATATCCCGATACTGATAAATCGAATGATTAATTACAAATATTCTAAGTGTAGGAATACTAAATCTATTTTGTGTTTCATGTCTTCAGCAGTGCTATTTTGTAAGAAGAAACTCAATTTTTAACTCTAAATCTGCGGTTTGATTTGTGGTGCCGTGGTTTTTTCCCCAAACTGTTATTTTAATTTAGTGATTGATCATAAATAGGTGACACGTCTGTAATGAAACAGTAAAATAACTAGCAGTGATGGTTCGTAGAGATTAATTATGGAAGCTATCTAGTATAAACGTTACAAGTCTGAAAAACGACCAATCGCGTGTAAAGTTTTAGTTCTATTTGCAAATATAGTAAAAGTGAATACTAAATCTATTTTGTGTTTCATGTCTTCAGCAGTGCTATTTTGTAAGAAGAAAATCAATTTTTAACTCTAAACCTGCGGTTTGATTTAAAATTAAAATACAAATTTCAAATCACATCGGCGTATTCCGCGATAAATGAGAGTTTGTTTTTACAGAATAACACTGTTGTAAGTCTTCTTATCACTGTTGTTTCTCGTCTTTAAGTCGACTTCTGATTCATTCTAAGCATATCTTTTTATATTATTGAAAAGGCTCGGAACAAAGGTTTGTATAATCCACTTATCTGTTTATTTGGAAACTATTATACTTACACCTGATTTGGTTCCCACGTCTGCTTGCTAGCTTTTATTACTACATAAGTACCTGCTTATGTAATTAGTGCTTAATACTTACAATAGATCAATGGCTATTATACACTAGAGAGGTATTTTACAAATGTGTTACTTTTTCTCACGCAACTTATGATTCATTGAATACCACGTTTTCTTGAAAGGACACAGTTTAAATATTCGGAACTGGAATATTCAATGACTAATAAATAACTGGCTGTGAACTAGTTACTAAGGATGATTGCAAGTGCTTATAATCTATTCAACTGTGAAGGTTATATCTAATACTAGTATATTAAATTCTCGTATCACGGTGTGTGTAATTGAAGAACTCCGAAACGGCTCGACCGATTTTCGTGAAATTTTATATGCATATTCAGTAGGTCTGAGAAACGGACAACATCTATTTTTCATCCCCTTTTTAAACCCTTAAATTTTATATTTGACAAAAAATTGTTTTTATTTTTTTATGATACATCATACAAAAATACATACAACCCTAAATTTTCACCCTTCTAGCACCAATCCCCATTTTTTATGGCGGTACGAAATTCGTTGGGACAACTTGTTGTATACATATATTATGTTCTAGGTATTTGTAGCATTTGTTCATCTTCTATAATATAAAAATGAATCGCTGAATGTGTTGCTAAGCGCAAATCTCGAGAACAGCTGAACCGATTTCAATAACTTTTTTTTAGAATATTCCTTGATGTACGAGAATGGTTCTTACGCAGAGAAAAATAAAAAAAAATGCCTGAAAATGTCCAAAAACAACACTTTTCTATATTTCCATTTAAAGGATTCGTAATAATACTTAAAAGTTAATTTGAACTTTAATACCATACCAAAAATTTAAAATGTTAGTGGAGAGAATCTGGGAAGGCAAAACAATTGAGCGACGTGATGTCAATAGAAGTTTGGAAAAGGCAAATATACAATTTTCAGTTTTTTTATAATTACTTATATGAAGAGTCATTTAAATCTACATTACAGTTCTACCCCGAAACGAAGCGAGGTCGGGCCACTAGTTAATTAATAAAATAAAACAACTTAAACTTTGAGAAAAATTGTCATTTCTCAAATGCAACAATTCGAGTATGGTTCCAAGGCTTCACGGGGTAGGGGTAAGGGGGTTGGCTAAGGGTAGGCGACGATGCCAGTGATATTTTTGGTATCGCAAGCCTGTAACTATAAAGCCTATGGTGGCCGCTCTCCATCAGGCGGGACATATTCTTGTTTGCCACGTATTCTTATACTTTATTAAATTGAGCTAATTAATCTCTCAAAAATATATTTGATTACAAATCCTTCTTCTTCTAGTGGCTCTTCGAACAGTGAAGGTTGGCAGTCAGCTTAGCATACGTCTCCTTATCCTTAGCGAGATGGAATAATTCAGCGGCGCTCGAGATTCCAGTCTATTCTCGTAGGTTCCTCAACAAAGACTTCTTCCTGCGACCGACGCCTCGTTGCCGTTGCCACTTTGCCCATCATTATTAATTGTAAAAAGTTATTGTTATTAATTAATTTACAAATCCTGCTAAATTTAAAAATATACTGATGCGTGTTATAAAAATGCTGAAAAAAGTAAACGGATGTGTTGAAAAGATATACTTTCCTCGCGCTATACAAGTTTAACATACATAGTTCACTTTTGGAGAATAATGTTAAGAAAATAATATTTTGTTAAAAAGAAAAGCAAAGTACTAATGGCCCTTATTATTCTATCGAATAGGAGTGAGCTTACGGAAAATCGAAAAATACACATATTATTAAACAATGGGTTTGCAAGATATCACATAAGTTTCCGAAATTAAAGAAAAGATTTTCTGCTTCAATTGAAGCGCTCGTCTGGGGAAGTAATCTTATAGAAAATCACAGTTAAATAACAATACCTTTTAGTGGTGTTACTGGGTTCCACGGAGTAGAGGATTAGGTCAGCGAGTGATATTTTTGGTATCGCAAGCGTCTATAAAGGAGCTCGATGGCGCAGGTGGTTAGCGCGTTCGGCTGCGATCGTTGAACTTAAGCAACTTTCGCAGTGGTCGGTCATTGGATGGGTGACCAAAAATTACTATCTCGATCTCCTCCGTGCTTCGGAAGGCACGTTAAGCCGTTGGTCCCGGCTGCATCTGCAGTCGTTAGCACCTACCAATCCGCACTAGGCCCGCTTGGTGGGTCATGGCCCAATCTCCCTATCCAATCTATAGATTGTAGAAGAAGAAAAATATGAACATGTTAGTACTCAATCAAAGTTTGATGTAGAGATAAGTTGTAGGAAAACATGTTAATCTAAATTAAAAACACTTCATGAGTGTTTGAGGTTTGTTTCAATGAAGGTAAAAAATCAGAAGACGTAAGATGTTAGTGTAACTATTTATAGTAAGTAGCTCACGTAATATTGCCGTTACAATAAGAATTCTAGTCACCATCATCATCAGTCTATTAATATCCCCACTGCTGGGGCACAGGCCTTCCCTATGGATGTAATAGGGAGAATGGGCCATGAACCACCACGCGGGCCCAGTGCGGATTGGCTGGTGCTAACAACTGCAGACGGCTTAACGTGCCCTCCGAAACACAGAAGAACTCGAGATAGAAGGTTTTTGGTCACCCATCCAGTAACCGACCACTGCAAAAGTTGCTTAACTTCAACGATCGCATTCGAACGCGCTAACCACCCGAGCCATCGAGCTCCTCAAGAATTCTAGAATTAGAATTCTCAAGAAAGAAATCTTGTACTAGAATTCTTCTCAAGAAGACAAATTCTAGTATTAGGGCATAATATTTTACATTTGTTAAGCAATGATTTGTTAAAGATTCCGCACCCTCCGCAATCCGGGCGAATGCACAGACTAAATATGCTACCACGGCCCTGATGGCCGCGTCGAAATTTTCCTAGCGTTAAGCTGCAAGGCAGCGCCATCTCTTCGCATTGTAGGTAACCCACAATGTT